CGTCGGAAAATTATGCCTACGTGTAGGCCATCCACGAGACATTCGATTCCACCGTACGTGCGGAATAGTAGACCGAAACAGTCGTTGAAATAAAAATTTTATCGAGAGAAAACAGTTTTGCGAGCGGACAATATAGCATTTCGTATTTATGATTAAACTCAAGAGTAAATCCTGGTAAATTCAATTATTCCTGTCTTCCGATGAAGAGAGAAGCTCAAGGTAAGTGAATATTTTGTTAATTTTCATTGCGCAGCGACATATCTAAATACATACAATTAAATTCATAGTAGTAGTAATATTTTCAATATATATTAATATAAAATTCAAATATTAAGAATTTTAACGATATCGATATAATTAATATTTTAATTAATTTAAAATCAAATTTTGAGAAATTAAAATGGAAACACTTATGCGAGTTTGTTTTCACAAATTTACATGCATTTTTAATGAGAAACGTAATTAAATATCTAAATATTCCTAATATCATATATTTCAAATATTTTTGTATTAATATGCGTTCGTGCAGATGACGTATTGAGAAAAAGAAGAAAAAAATAGGAGTTCTTAAGCTGCATTCTTTAGCATTCAGATATTTAATTAGATATTTAATGTTTTTTTTATTTAATTTTTTATTTAATTTTTTTTTAAGTAATGAATGATCAAGTAATATGAATCGCGTTAATGTGGCTCACCTCCGGATATCTCTTAAAAGTTTCGAGTGTATAAAATTTAGATTTCAGGACTTGGCCACATCTGGATAATCCACCAAACATTTTGCGTTTCTGTAAAAAAAATATGAGTGAAGCAAATTATCATCAAAAAAGTTGATTGGCGGACGATATATATTGACGATATAATTGTGTCGAACCTTTAATTCAATTTTTAATATTGTTACAAGGACAGAGCTATAATTTTCAGTTACACAGTCATCAATTTATCATTTGCGATGCGTTTTCTTACCCGGGGAAAATAAATAATTTGTTCATTGCACTGTCATACACGTGTTCTGACATAAAGTGATGAAGGAAAGAAATATGATCTGCTTACCCGGATAGAGCTGTTTGGACTGTAATGTTACGCTTGGACGATGTAAGAGAACGAATTTCGATAGATTGGTATATGTAAACCGAAATATGTACGAACGCTGACAAAATATATTGAATATGTGCCTCGTCAGAGAAATTGCACATTCCTCGTTTGTTAATCGTATCTCTTCTGTCAAATTTATAAGGTGACTGTTCTAATTATAAATCGCGTACTAATTTTGAGATCAGACTTACCCGATTAATGTAATTATAAATAAATAAATAAATATAAATATATATATATATATATAAAAAATTACAGATTACTTTTTATTTTAATTCTTGTACTTTATAGCATAAAATTATTATATATTAAAAGAAGAAAGAGTAAATGAGGCAACCTTCTTTAATAGCTCCCTGAAATTATATAAAGTACTTAATGGATTATTAAATATTATATATACAAGATTAAATAATTTGGATTTGAATATTATTAATATTAAAAGTAGTTTAATATTTCATAAATAAAAATGAAAAATATGTGCCAACTCAAAATTGGAACACATATATGCGTAAACATTTTTGAATACTCGTTTGCAATTCATTGATTAAAAGCATAATTTTTTTTTAAACAATTCACTGCTTACATTAGTGGTAATGTGTTTTAATGATTGATTAATAAATTTGCATAAATAAATAAATCATTTTAATTTCAATTTTGACTTATAATTAGAAGTCATCTTGTCCTTAATTTATACGTGTTCGCGGCATAGATGGAGTAATTTGCAAGTTTGCGATAAAATTGTCACAGTAGTTGATACGTATCTAACTATTCTATATTTACGTTCATTCTTTTCTAACATTTATTTTGAAATACATAGAAACTCTACGAGGTACATCATAATTTGCAAATATATAAAACAAAAGAGAGAAAACGCTTTTTTTGTATTTGATACAACCAAGAAAAACCTTGGAATAAACAATTGATATTTGGTAAATTATTTGTATGATCTTCAATAACATAATTTTCACGCAATATAATATCTAGTCACGCTTAATATTTAATTATGAAAATCTTGTTAAATTATAAATATTTACATAATAAATTTCATTTAAAGACTGAAAATTCTAATTTAATAATGTATTTAATTCTGCACAAATAATAAACATTTTCAACATGTTATATTTATACATTTCACGTTTAGCAGAATATAGTATAGTAAAGCATATCAAAATAACTCTTTTATAATTTTAACCCTAAATATTTGAAAATAGTGATGTAAAATATCATGGAGATAAGAAAGATGCATTCAAAAGAAAAGATATGTGAGATACGATTTTTTCTTTTCTTGAAAAATTTTCCAAAGTTAATTTTTTGTGTTATTGCGACTTGGGCGTATATGGAAAACGTCAGATAGATGTCTAATTAGTAATTATTTTTAAAAACGAACGAAAAAAAATTACTCAAAACATCACGTAAATTTGGAGTATCCTGTCGCTTATCAGTCGACTCGATGGTATTTATCGGCATATTCAAATCGAAGTACAGCCTACAAATAGCGACCTAGATACCCGGCATAGATTTATGGAAAATGTAACATCACAACAATTTTTTCTCGCGAATATCATCAAGAATAAACCGTGTTACAATCATGAAAACGTCTTGTTTTCTCTAGGGAAGAGAAAAAAGAATCTCTTATTTTGATATGTGGAGAATCGACATAGCATTACCAATTGGATTTTTTTATGTAATTGCGAGAGAGAGCCGCTGACAACGAAGACGAAGAGAATTATTCAGGACGCAAGGATAAAAACAGACGTCGCGATGGAGGGGAGCTATTAAAATATGTAAGAACAACGCGAACGTGACTGCGACAAGTGAGCACGTATATTTGTTCTCCTCAGAAATTTTTTTTCCTTTAAATGTACATTACAAATTCATGCTGTTCTACCAACCAACATGTCTCGTTAAATTAGAAAGAAAATGCCGTTTTGTATGTGTATGTGTGTGTGTGTGCAAATTTTATTAAGCGCTGCAAACCTCAGGCTTTTAATTTAATCAAAACATCTGGCCTTCCATATAAAATTATCTCTATGTGTTTTAATGGCTTTTGGCAAAAATTTAATTCTTTAAATTCCGATTAAAAATCTTAATGAGACGTTATCTCCCGTTTCACAATCTAAAATTAAGTAAAGCCTTCAACGCTTATCGCAAATTCGTGCTGTTCCATCAATTACCGCAAACTTCCATTAAATTAGAAAGAAAGCGCCGTTGTTCTTAAATTTTATTAAGCATCACAATTCTCTTCTCAGACTTGTGTGATATTTAATCATAATAACTGCCATTGTGTTTTCAGGACCACGCAAAATAATCTCATACGTGTAAAATTCTGTCTCGTGTAAAATGGAAAGTCTTAAATAAATAAGATTAAAAAAATATCTTTCATATTATTTTTTTTTACTTAAGCGAAACCTTCAACGCATCATTCATTCCATCAACTATCACAAACTTCTATTAAATTAGAAAAAAAGTGCCATTGTTTTAAATTTGATTAAGCCTTATAAAGTTCTTTTTAAATTTAATGAAAATCATTGCCGGCGTTTTCAAAACTATATAAAATTATCTTAAATGCATAAAGTTAATATTTAAAAAAATAAAATTCTTTAAATTTCGATTGAAAAAAAAATATTGAGACATTCTTTTTTATAATCTGAAGCTAAGTGAACACAGATTATGCATGAAATTCTGCGTTTGCAGATTTCGCCGAGACACAACACAATGACAAAACGTTTCAGCTGTTTACATATGACTTTATGGATATTATGGAACAAGAAGTATTTACCTTCGAAGACAGCGTTACGACACACAATCAACTCGTGTTTAATTCAATGCCCGTTGACATAATTCAACGTGACCGCGAATCAATGCGGATTACCCAATGAACTTTGATAACATACGGATTAACATGCAAGCAGTTTTCGAATTCGCAAACCGAGGATAAAAATGCGTTCGGCAAAATCTGATCGGTAATCAAAACTGTTTTTAGGATCACGCGAATATTTTCCATTCCGCGAGCGAACGCAGGGACGAGGGAGGAGGATCGCGGTGCATCGCGGCGCCGCGGCACGTGTGCATTGTACGCGAGCACACACGTAATCGGTAATTTCTTTCACGTGGCTTCGCCTCCTCCACACGCATCGCGAACATGCTGGTCATCGTCGAATTGCCACCGATGAACGACAATGACGAGAATCACTGTCACGAGCGCTCGAGTGACAACGTTAGCTCGGGCGGAATTTCTGACATTTGCGGCGAACTCTTGGCACGTGGAGTCGCGGCGGTGGTGGTGGTGGTGATGGTGGTGGTGGTGGTGGTGGTGGTGGTGGTGGTGGTGGTGGTGGTGGTGGTGATGGTGGTGGTGATGATGGTGATGGTGGCGGCGCGGCGACGGCGACGGTAACGGCAGTAGCGGGTAGCGATGCTGCTGATAGTGGTAGCGATGGTAGTAGTGATGACCGTCGTGGTTGCGATGGTGTGAGTACGAGATTTCGGGAAATTAAATGTGCGACGTCAGGGAGGTGGGAGAGATCGCCGAGAAGCCGAGCGAAACCGGGGAGAAGGTGAAAGTGAGCCTCTGTCGCGACCGTGGTGGCGGACGGTGCATAACCTAAAACTAAAGTACTTTTCTTCTCTCTCTCTCTCTCTCTCCTTCTTTCTCTCACCTCCAGTCGCTCCCCACGTCCGCCTTCGCTGCATGCGTGGTCGCGCGCGCAGTACGCTGTGTGTCTCGCCTGTGGGTCGTCGTCGTCGTCGTCGCCGCACGAGCGGCTCGTCGCAGTCATCTCTCTTCTCGTGATCGCGCACGTCCTCGCATACCTGCACATCCCGTTGTGCATCCGCACCGTCGTACGTCGCGTCCGCGTCGTCATGACCGCGCCGAGACGGTCGCGGAGGTGCTCGCTGGCGAACGAATGACTTCGCGGAAAGTCCGCCGGCAACGTATGGAGAATATGGAGACCACGAGCAACGAGTCCGGGGGCGAGCAGGCCGTCCCCGACAGCACGGTGCCAAGGAAGTCCTGGTCCGAGCTCCGCGCTGTCGTCAGCGATCTCAGGAGGAAATTGTCCGGGGTGTCGGCTGGATCCGTGCCGGGTTCCATAACTTTTCGATCACTTCCGGATGGCCGGTGAGGAAAACATCGCGCCTGTTCAGGATTACCCAATCTCGCTCTTGTCAGGATTAACGATGCGTCACTCTCCTTTTGCAGAACTAGAATCTATTTCCTCAGCACGCCGAGTAACGGCTGGGAGACCACTCTTTTGTATGTGGACATCGCGCATGCTGACCATGCCAACAGTTATCGGTTGCACTGGCAGCCTGTCATAGAAGCGAATTTCCAGAGGTAAACATCCTACTGATATTCAACATGCATCGGATTGTTATTCAAGAATAACTAATAATTGAATCTGTCATACGATGATTTTAGTGTATCCAGTGCAAATAGACTATCAAAGGAAGAACAATTGTTGTGGGAAAGGAAAAGACTTGCTACGTGGGGTATAACCAGTTATGAGATTCACCCAGAAAGTGGGAAATTAGTTTTTCCAGCTGCTAGCAGTCTTTATCAATGTGTGGATACTGGATTTATGGTAATATCTACATATTATAGTAAATTGATGAAAGAAAGTGTTTAATCTCTATGTCTTCCCATTAGCCTGGACCTCTCTTCCCATCAGAAATTAGGATGTCAACGACCGGAGCAAAACTGTGTCCTCAGATCTGTCCTTGGAACAACGCCCTGATTGCGCACACATGTTCGGGAGATCTGTATCTATCTCACAGCATCACAGGATCTTCGGTTCGATTAACTCATGCTAGAAAGGAGGCAGAAGTCTTGTGGACGATCCGCTTACAGCCGGCACTCCTTCCTATGTCATGCAGGAGGAATTTACAAGGTTGAGCCATTTATTATCAAATACTTACATGCTAAAAGTGTGAAAATTAGAAAATCTGTTCTGCATATTTTAGGTATATTGGCTACTGGTGGCAGCCAAAGTCCATGTTCGATGGTATCTATAGAATAGTATATGAAGAAGTGGATGAGAGTGACGTCAAGATATATTGCTTCCCTTCGTCGAATTCTGATGAGGTGGACGAATTTAGATTTCCTAGAGCCGGTATGTCTAATGCTCGAAGTAACTTGAAAATGGTGCAATTCCGCCTGACGGAATCATTGCATATTGTCGACATCGAGATACTAGAACTTCAATATCCCCTTCACATCATGTTTCCATGGATGGAGTATATGGTGAGAGTCGGCTGGACTCCGGACGCTCAATAGTAAGTTCAAGATAAAAGTGACACGATACATGAAACATTGTTAATCAATATAGGTGGATAATTCACTTTGTTGAAATGTAGCGTTTGGGTGCAGTTGTTGGATAGAAAACAGCAGAAACTTGAGTTGGTTCTGCTGTCGATAGATAACTTCTGCGAGCCGACACCAAACACATACAATACAGAAAATCACTTTACACCCACGTCGCCGAGCGTCCAAGTGATATATTCCGAGCAGAGCTCAATTTGGATCAACGTGAACGACCTGTTATACTTCTTAAAGTCCGATGATGCGAACGAAGTCAAATTTATCTGGGGGAGCGAAGAATCCGAGTTTCGACATTTGTATCTTATAACGTCCAGTATAGCAGGTTCACGATGAGATTATTATATTCATCTTTCATTTTAATTTAGTTGTTCATTTCTTTTTTAACGTACGTTTTAATTGTAGGCTTAAGTAACGGAGTGGAAGAGCCTTTGGATAGAATGGATAGCATATTTCTTCGACCACGTATCACTTCCAAAGTAGCCCTGACACAGGGTGATTGGGAAGTGTTAGGGAAAAAAATATGGGTCGACGAGATTAATTCGATCGTCTATTTCTGCGCATTACGAGAAGGGCCGTTGGAACAACACGTTTATGCGGTTTCTCTGCGACGGCCGTTAGAAATACGACTCCTAACGCGACCTGGCTACAGTTACAATAATATATATTTTAACAAAGAGTGCACGATGTTGGTCACTGTTTATAGTTCCATTAAAACGTTGCCTACTTGTCAAGTATGTTCCTCGCAAAACACGCAATCGTGACATTTAATTCGATCAATAATTTGTACTATCTATTTTGCAGGTATTCAAAATATCACAAACCGATTGGACAGTGGAGAGCATATCGCTTACGCCTGTAGGTTATCTCCTAGAACCATCAGCGCCTGAATCTGAGTTGTTTGCCCCGGAAATTTTCACGCATAAAATCAAGTCAGGAGATACGATTTACTCAATGATATTTAAACCTCATAATTTTCAAAGTGGAGTCAAATATCCTACAATATTGAATGTCTACGGAGGACCCGAAGTACAACTTGTATCAAATACATTTAAAGTAGGTATAAGGTATTTTTTAGGAATATATCAATGTGTGAAACAAAGCATAAAAAAATCATAAAATATTTGCAGGGTTTAAGACATTTACGAATGCATATGTTAGCTGCTCAAGGCTATTGTGTAGTTTTAATCGACTCTCGCGGATCGCAGCATAGAGGTTTAGTATTCGAGAGTCATTTACGACGTAGAATGGGAACAGTGGAGCTGAGCGATCAAGTCGAAGTGTTAAAATGGCTAGCGGAGACCACCGGATACATAGATCTAAACCGAGTGGCTCTTCACGGCTGGTCTTACGGCGGATACTTAAGTCTAATGGGTTTGATACAATATCCTGATATCTTTAAGGTATGCGCGCATATTATCGTAGCATTACATTTTTTAAAGTTTTTCTTAAAAAAAAATTATTTTTGTCGCATTGTAGTTGGCCATTGCTGGTGCGCCAGTTACTTCGTGGAACTTTTATGATACCGGATATACCGAACGTTACATGGATTTGCCACAGAACAATCCTCATGGTTACATGGCCGGATCGGTTCTGACATACGTAAACAAGTTTCCCGACGAGGAGAATCGTTTATTAATTATTCACGGTCTTATAGACGAGAATGTACATTTCTATCATACTAGCCAGTTGATTAACGCCCTTGTGAAGATAGGTAAACCGTATCAATTACAAGTTTATCCTAACGAGAGGCATAGTCTGAGAAGTTTAGACGCCAGCAAACATTATGAGACGACTCTGTTATCCTTCTTGCAGAATCATTTATGAACTTATGTTCTCTCTATTTTTATTTTTGTTTCTTTTCATTGTTAGATAGTTCGATAATAATCGTTCCTCTGAGCAAAAGTTCGCGAGTTAAGTAACTGCCATTAATTTACATACACATATAAATGTACACATTTAAATGTAAAATTTAAAAGGAAGAAACACTTTCAGATGGTCAGATATTCGTACTAGTTTCTGTATAAATTGTATCTCTATAGAGCTTTTTTAAGATAGTATTACACATTTTTTATGCAAGACATTTGCAACAACACACTGTGAATATATTGTATAATTAATTACAAGAACGAAAACGAATCTTCTATAGCAAGAAATTTATAATATATAACTTACAAAAAAGATGTATGCTGGATATAAATTTTCACCGATGCTGTCAAGATATCACAAAATGCGTATTAAATGCGTACGAAGTTTTCTTAATCAGCTATTGTCGAAGCTTATGATCGTGATAATATTGATTGTGATTTTTTTTCTAAGAGAATGGACAATACTCAATGTACTAACAATAGTTAATCAAGAAAACTACTTCATACGTTTGTTTCTCGGTTATTTTGCAATATATGATGAATCGTTAGACGATCGACATCTCAACTGTGACTATGTACATATATGATACGTGCAACACAGATTCCTCTTTCTACGAAATGAAAATCTGTGTTTCAGTGAGAAAAGTATTTGTGTTCTTCAATGTTGTGAAATAATCGTATATCCGATGGATAATTATTTGTCAATAAATAAATTGATTATTTTATATTTTTCATAATTATTGTAAGCAGTAATTAGTACTTAGTGTTAGTCATGTTTATAGTGTTATATATATTGATTAGTAAATATCCAAAAAGGTATTCAATAGAATATTTGAAAAAGAAAATCTAACGACTATATTTGAGAATTAGAATTTAATTACATATATTTATCAAATTTCTGTCAAAAGTGAACTACTTCGACTTAGTTTTACGATTCAAATACTTATGAAGATAGCGTATTCTTTTTTCTAATTCTTTCCACTTGGTGGGTCTCGCGATTGGAAATATACCCTTTGCCCACATTTTTCTCTTTCTTAGTAAAACCTGATATTCATTACCACTGACACCTCTCAACCACGAAGGTACGTTGTATAAAATTTTTGTTGGATGTAGTTTTTCCGAGCCCAATATATCGATGTAATCATTCTGGCCGAACAATGCCCTCTTTTCGGACCAAGCATCCGTCGGACGATAGATCGGCATTGGAAGTTTCTTAGCATTGTCCATACGTGGTAAAAGACCCCTCATATCAATAGGATCCTCGTATCCATATCGCCGTATTGTGGGGCCTTTTGCTAGTTTATCCGCATGATAACGAAAACGTACCGACGTTACTTGCGGAGTCCATGTGCTTGTGACAGCACGGACAGAGTTTACAATCCAAGACATGGATTCTAGAGAAAATACGTTAGAAAAATTACATATAAATAAAATATAGGAGCATGGTATTTGTAAAAAATAATTGTATAGTCTATGTTAATTGAATACAGAGTTAATCTATGGTAATCTATGGTAAATTGCAATCTCTTCGGGAAACAAATTAAGATTCTACATATAGATATTTGGCTTATTCATAAATGACTTATTAAACCTTATAAAATATACATATATGTATATAAGATATTTGATATTTTAAAAATACATTACATATAATAAATATATATATATGTATATTTTATATTTCTGTTTATTCGAAACATAACCTAACTTCTTGACAATCACGCGGTATGCAAATGTTGCTCATGAAATTATGAATTATTAATTAAATTTTCATACCTTTTTCTATTCGACTAAACTGAAAATCCTTATTCGTGACACATCTGATAGTAAAACACCGAATCTTAGCGACCTTTTAACTCGAAAGAATCGAATATGAAACTTATATCATCTGATGAATGCGCATGCGTAGTTAAATGTTCTTGTGTCTAAGCATTTTAATATTCGCTTCTACATCAAAGATTTCTCTTTTCCTTTTGGACGTATTAAAAATTTATTCAAATTTATTCAAATATGTTTTACATACAAAAGATTCTTATTATAATCTTTATTAATAAATAAATATTTGATAAATTTATGAATCAATAAAAAAATGCTAAGAGCATACGTTTCTTTATTTTCAAATTTCCATGTGAAATAAGAAAGATATAACGCATGATTCGAGTGCGCTCGATAATATTCTCGGAAAACAGGAAAAGATAAAAGAAGAAATAGAAGAGATAAAGAAAAAAATAAAAGTTTATATAAGTCAGCACCATTATAAACCTTTATCTCTTCTTTACATTTTTATATTTTGTTTATAACATTGTTTTTTTTTATATAGGTGTTACAACTTGCTTCTGTTACTTTTAATTTCAATTTTCTCTATAAATTTCTCTTCAAATTCGACATGCCGACACTCTTTATTTCAATAATAGTCACAAAACTTTGTAGGCAGTAATTAGTACTTAACGTTTATCATATTTAAATAATGTTGTCATGTTTAAATAATGTATATAGTGATTGGAAAACATTATTCAATAGAATATTCGAAAAAGAAAATATATTGACTATATATGAAAATTAAATTCTAACTTTGTGGGAAATATCGATTTCTCTCAAACATTTTAAGAGGCATTTATTAAAAGTACAAATGCAATATAAAAATAATATATAAAGGAATTATGTTAAATTAGAAATTATAATTTGCATGACTTGAATTTACATGAGCTGAATCATTTGTACTACAACAACTGTACTGTAACAACAACATTGTAAATTTGATTAAAATAATTGAATGTTTTATATATATTCGCTAGCAAGCGATTCGCTGTAGAAAGAACGAGATTACCACGAGTATTTCGGCGGTCGTCATCAGTGCGCCTACGAAAGAAAGAGACAAAAACTCAAATGACTCAAAAGAATTGGGCCGAATTAGTTTGTAACGATGCAATTAAGTGTAATTAACCTTTAGAACATGATTCTCCCTCCTTGCACACGCACTGTTGATTCTTACACTCCATGGTGTCTGGAGATCTGCCGCTCTCGTAGCACTCGTAGTCGTGCGTGCAAGAAAAATATAGTGCTGAAAAAGCAAAATAATATTAAAGATTAATACGTGATTCTCTTAAGTTCCGATTAATTCCACAAAATAGAAAACAGAAAAAAAATTTAAACTGCCAAAGCCATAAACTGAAGATTAAGTATAAAAATCGCATCGTGTAAAATTGTGTAAAAATGAAGTTTATAATAATGCTCGTATAATGCTCGTATTTGTTAAGGCTTCTATTGGTTCAGTGCAGCTATTTTGAATTATGATATCAGAAACAAGAAAATTTGTGAAAGTTCGTAAATTACATTCACAAATCAAAATATTTTACAATAACATCTAATTTGATAATAAATTTGATAATATAAAATATGCCAAAAACTTTCTTTTTGCTTCGTAATCAATAATCACATATTTAGAAAATGAATTGCCAAATCAAGAAGAGAGCCATGGCCGCAGTGGATCAGCAGGAACTTTAAATCTTTCCGTTTTGCTTGCGATTTTTTCTTATTTATTTTTTCCTCTTATTCATCGAGCATCTTTCTTTTTTTTCATGGAAGAAAAAGGATGTATACCTCGACTTTGCACGCAGACTCTAGTCTGGTTCACGAAATGATATCCCGTGAAACACTGACACTTCTCATTGATGCACAAGGCGAAATCGAAACTTTCCTGGCATAGGGTGGACACCTGGCAAGGATCGTCAATTTTAACAGGTCCTGAAACATCATTTCTTTTTTAACCGCTTGCCAAGTTTGAAGATAAAACCGTTCGTGACATTCTGGACCTTTCGTGACGTTTGTTTATATCTCAGTATGAGACACAAGAACTGTAATTTTTACTTACTGCTGATGCAGTTTGAAGAATTCTTGCTGTCTAAGAAGAAATCATCTTTGCAAGCGCATGTGTTCTGCCTGCACTCGCCATTCGCCATGGTTCGACACTGTGTGTTATCTTGACAACTTAGGCCAGCAGCTGCATGAATCATAAGGATAAATAACGCATCATTATACAAAAATAATGTTATCCTACTTAAAAATATCAAGAAAAAAATTTTTTAAATATACAAGTATAGCGATGAGTACGCGCATTTGTCAATGTGACTTGCCTGATGTAATCAAATGATCTGATGAAAGAGTCACAAATCAATTATGAAGCAACAAGTGCGATGAAAAATCGAAAGAATAATAAACTATATGTGCAATACTATCGGCAACATTTTCACATTTGTTGATTTATTCGAAATGCGCTTTTCGTTGGGTCAATTCGTTTTCGCGTAACAAAGTGATTACTTTTCACTCGGGACATAATTGATAAATGAACTCACTGGCGATGCACACTGATTTATCAAGACTTGGTGAATAATATGGATCGCATAGGCAAGTTTGTTGCCAGCGACAGAATGCATTCTCGATGCAATCGACGTCCCTCTCGCATTTTTCGCCGATGAACGCGACAGTGCGCTCCGCTAAAATGAGAAAAAATGTTTGAATTATAAATGAAAATAAACTCTAAAAAGGGAGATAATTAAACGGCGAATTGCCATGTTCATCTATCTTCTAACGCGATTTGCTATCAGTAGATATTTCGATGACGATTCAATCCAAATAACACGACAGCATAAAGGCGTATAAGAAATGCCTAATCAATAGTTTACAAAATTTGAAAAGTTATAAATTTGTAGATTAACTGAGAAATTAACATTTATTTTTAAAGATACCTAAAAAAAAACTTAAAATTTTTTCAAAACGATGTCTGAGGAAGATCCAAAAGATAAGAATAATCTTCATAAAAGTTTTAAAAAAATTTTGAAAAAAATTATAGAATATAAAATTATAGAATAAAAAATTATAGAATATTTTCATAGAATTAATGAAGAAAATATATCTAAATCTTTCAAACTCTACGTCATATCGGACTATATCGACTGACGTCGAGATAATTCGAGGTACTCACGATTCTGCTGACAAGAGACGTAGTCGGCGAGCGAGAAGAGAATGAGGGAGATGCAGACGAGAATCGTCATTGAAATTGAGATCCGTAGTTCAGGTGTGAAGATGAGGCATATCCAGGTGACTGCCAGATAGCGGGTTCACAACGCATCTTCTACTACGAGAATACGCCCTCGTGAGATAAAGGTCTTATCTCTAGGCATATCTAGTGATATCCCGTTCGGAATGAATCAGAGTTTCATTTATCAAGCGAAATGCGATCATGAGAAATTGACTCGTTTTTATTTA